AATATCGTACCTTTCGTGAAAATATCGTACTTTTCGCGTATGATGATCATACAGAAACTCACATCGTACGCGGGGCGAAAATATCGTACATGTACGATATTTATCATACGTCTAACAACCCTGGCAGATACGCTCTTACCTAGCTTAAGAGCGATCGAGTGGGCGGCGATGTACCGCTTATTTGACCCTACACCGTAACACAGCCAGCCATGACTCCTTCAGCCCTTGTTGTTGCAGGTCATGGAAGAAAGAAACCGCTAGCACGACAATATCAGTGTCAGAGCACCTTATGATAATGGATTTTGACCCATGCACAGCCATGTCTTTCGCGTGAAGGAAGATGCGCCCATCTGCCTCTTCCATTGAGGCACAACTAACATTGTCCAGTGCTGAGCCCTGAAATTTTAAATTCCAATGTGAGTAGTTGGGGTAAGGTTGAGTTAACTTTGCTTTGATAGAAAACTGTTACCTGGCCATGGAATGTAGATTCTCTTATTTCATCAGTAACATTTGTCACAATTTGCAATTTCTCTGTTTTAAGTAACATTTCTGAAAAATATGCAAACAGCTCAAGTCTTGTTGCCATCATTATTGAGGTAACTGTCCCACTGCTTCTGCTGCTTTGGGAATGTGCCTACATAAAAGTATACGAATTAGGATTCAAGTAACTGTTGTAATTTGAAATGTTGTGTTATTTTCACCGACTGACCTTTTTCAAGGAAACCAGGACGTCGTGCCTCGTGACTCGCGTGTTGCAGTCTTAAGACTTTTCTCACTATATTGATCCCAGACGATGTCTACTCGGTTACAGTTCATCTTTGAGGCAAAATTAAGACAATACTTCAAAATCTCTTGACTAAAGCCAAGGAATGAAGTAGCTCCCGCGCGGGGTATCAGACGTACAACAGCTGCTCCGTCCAACACTATGCCGTCGCAAGACTCAGGTGATGCTGTGGAGACAAGTGAGTATAACTTAAAGGGTGTTGCATAGGCCTAATACTTAACTTTCTGATGTTGTACCGCAAGCATTCATTTGCATCCAACTGCATGCAGTACAGAATAAGGAAACAAAGTAGAGGCCTACGGGACAAACCGTATATTGTTGCTTATTAAATATTAGTAATGTTAATAACCTACATTTTTCTGCAGAAAGCTGTTCTAAAATTGGCACTAAGTAAGATTTTGTGCCAGAGCGGAGATCTCCATTTAATGCCAGTGAAGGAGGGCACAACTGATTTTCATACTCAAAAAATTTCTTCAGATCAAGTTTTCGTGCCAAACTGACAATGAAAAGGCGTGAGAAGAGTTGAACATCACACTTCAGTTCAGAAATTGCTGAGGGTTGCGAAGATTTTTTGAAAGTAAAGATTTCAATTTTATGCAGCTTTACGGGGCTATAGAAAGGTATTTCATGACTCTGAAGTCTCTTCTCTACAAAATCTTTCAGCATTTCCACACCAACTTTCTCTAAGCTGTTGAGTGATGCGATACCTTTCTCTCCGATTTCAATTCTGGAATCTAATGTGAGAAGTTTAGGGGTCTTTATCAAGAATGGATTCTCACTCTGCAGGAAACTTTCTTTTAATGCTGCACAGTTTTCGAAAAACTGCTTTTGAAATTTGGGATATTGTTCGTTCATGGTGCGAGCCAGGTTTTATCTCGGTATTTTCTTCAAATTCAGAGAGTAAACGCGCAACCTCAGGGCCAGCAATGGTCCAACGCTTTAGAGCAGATAGGTCTTGAGTCAGCCCTAGTGCACCCCCCCGTGTCTTAATATTGGCATTGTTTTGCTCGTGTGCGTGGTCTATTCCAAGGGATGAAAAACTGTTAAGCGTTTTCCGAACCACGAACGCTCCTAGAATTTTAAAAAAATAAGATTAAAGAATTTACGAAATAATGCTCAGGTAGTTGTTTGCTTGGACGTACCCAGAGACAAACGGCGGTGCAATTCAGGATCATTTTTCTCCAGTGATAAGAGGTCTAATGCGTGCACGGTGAGCCACTGGGCGTACAGATGACGGCCGGAAGCAAAAAACCATGGCAGCATCAAAATGATAGACTCCTTGAAACTGTCAAACCGCGCCTCTCGCACAGACCTCACAAACTTAAAAAGTAACAACTCAAGTCTGAGAACAAGCAGCCAGTACTTAAAAGTGGGTGATTGCTTGGCTCTCTCTTCAAGCCACGGTTCCATGGTAACTTCACCTTCTGGATGGTCACTAAGGTAAGCATCACTTAACAGAGAAAAAAGCACAGCGGCTGTGATTTGGTGAAACAATCGTGCCTTGGTAACTCCTGAAACCTGACATTGTTAAAAAATTGTTAAAAATCTCAAATAAAAATACAAAAAGGGTGAAATTGAATGTTTTAAAATACCTTTAACAAGCCCTCTGCTGATCCCATAGGGAGGATACCAGAGTTTGAAACAATACCGCTCCACCCAGATCCTTCCATCACCTGACCTACAAGCCGCATGTAATTCATCTCTACACGGAAAAAAATACGTTAGCTGTGACAGCTAATGCGTTGGCTGCGTGGGCACTAACTGAAACATTTGTTGAATGAACTGACGAGCGTTGCTTCAGGTAGCTGATGAGAAGAAAAACGATACCTCCACTATTGCAAGTTACTACATTAGCTGTCTTAGCTTATGTTCAGTAAGCTGTCAGAAACACATATCCGTAGTTGCAGTATACATTTTACATCTCTGAA